CCCCGCGGACTCGTCCAGTCCCCACCCCCGCCGGGCAGGTGGGGCGCGCCAGGGAGCTGGTTGGCGAGCTGGGCTGGTGTCGCCGATACGGAGCCCGGATCCCTGGCCGCCCGGCCCTCGGGGTGCGCGGGGGGTGGACCGCGCGGCGGGGCGAGGTGGGGTGGAAGGGCGACGCGGGGCAGTGGGCTCCGCTTTGCAGGACGAGGAGGGCTGTGCCGCGGCCTCTCAGAGCCCAGATCCCGCCCTGCCCCAAGGGGTCCCGGGCTCCAGCGCTCCCCAGCCCTTCAGGCCCAGCCATTGTCCCGTGGGAGGAGCTTCCTCAGCCCTTGGCCCCAGGAAGGAGAGGTCGGGTGTGAGACCCTCCTCCGAGAAGGGGGTGTGAGGTCGTCTAGGACGGTGGGTCAGGAGTGGAGAGAGGGAAGGGACTTACAGAGAAACCTGTTGGCGAGCCAGGGGTGGCCTTCGGAGACTTCACTCCCTAACTGTCTCATCTTAAGTCAGATGCTGTGAACCTTTTAGTTTCATATTTTTAAACGTAAAAAACAAAAGAAATTCCAATGGTTTAGTGCCCAAGGTGTGGAGGTGAGGCAGGTGGGGAGGGCAAGAGCACCTGGGACCCTGTGGAGAGGTTTACAGGAATAAGCACAAGTAGAGTGGGACCAAATTAAACTTTTAAAAAATACTGCCTTTCCAAACCTGAACTCTGTGATTTGAGGACAGAGGGTTAAAAAGTGGCTGTTTCCAAAGAAACCCAGGAAGGTTATTTCGAAAATCTTGATACCTGGTACTCTGCAGTAGAGCAGGTCGGCAGTCGAGCTGGTCAGTGTTTTTCTTTCCCCCCTCCCTCAATTACACATCAGAAATAATAAAATACCTCAAGACTCTCAGTGTCAGCCTTCTAGAGAGGTGCCGTTACCCAGCCAAAGCCGCCGGCCTGCATGCCGGGAGAGGAAACCAAGTGCTTTAGGGGTCTTAGGCAGGAGTAGCTCTTGTTTACTGGACAAGGGGTCACCCAGGAGCTCACTATCTGGATGCCGTGCACGCCTTTTCCCTTGTTGTTCTGTGTGGCTCTTGGACTGGCAGAAATATCACTTGGGACCTTGTTAGTGCCAAATCTCAGCTCCACCCAGACCTGCTGCATCAGAATCTGAATTTTAACAAGATCCCCAGGTGCTCTGTGCACAGCTTGGTGTGCGGAACCCCAGGCCTTCATGCGCGCTTGACTGCCTTTTTGTCCGTAGTCCTTCTGGGCATGGCCTGTCCAAGGGCATCTTCCCAGAGGAGCGCTGAGTGGGGTACCTGCCTGGACCCTCTGTGTCCCCTGTGAGGCACTGAGGCCAGCTCAGTACTGACAAGGTCAGATCACATGCTGACCTCTGGGACTGGGATCAATATTCGAGGTCTGGGAAGCAGACCCCTGTGGGTAAGCAGGTGATATCGCACTTCCAGGTATAGTCCACTCCCTTGAGGCAACCCCTGGCAGTCCGGCAGGGCTGCTGCTGGCAGGGCTGGACACTCAGATGGTGGTCGCCTGGGTATGCAGCCCTTATGCTAACCTAGTGGTGTCTGTGACTTGCTTTCCAATCCAGGGCCCAAAACGGCTTCAGCTGGCAAACACATCCTGCCAGACACATGGAGAAACAGAAGGCTGATGGCACCGGTGAATGGGACCCAGATAGCCAAGAACTGCACGGACCCAGGTAAGGCACAGGCTTGCCCAGACCCGGCCACCAGGCATCAGATGGCCTGGAGGTGCTCTGTGGGTGGGCACAGCAGTGCCTTGAGGGGTGAGTTGGAGCACAGATGGGAAGGGCGATCGTGAGCCATTAGAAGATGTTGTCCAGACATCTGTCTGTTGTGCTGCTGAATTCAAAGTGTCTTTACTGACAACAGAAAAGGTCATGTCCAGGAGTTTGAAAATTGTCTTTTTGTTCTCCCAGTGCTCCCGAAGGCAACTTGTTTCTCTGTCTCTTGGTGTGTCTGTTTGTTGAGGTGTTTGTTTTCTTTTTTCACTGTATCCACTTGTTGCAGCAAAACCAGCTGTTCTGGCAGATGGTGCTTTGGGGTAACCCACCAGGGGCAAGCAGGTTGGACCCTTTCTCACCACTGGGTGTTTCCAGTGTCATCGGTCCCAGAGGCTAGCTCTGCTTGCCTTTGGGGGCAATTGTGATGAACTCAGAGTCTACTTGGGGGTCAGAGGTGGCAGCGGCCCAGAGATGGCATCATGTGTGTCCTGCCACACAGGCTTTGCTGACACAAGAGAAAAAGGTTCTCGGGAAAAGAGCATCCCAGCAAGCCCCAGGGCTCATGGCTGCTGCCTGGGCCTCAGACGGCCGCCACTGGGCTTGGCTCTGGCTCCAGCTCTTGGGGTCTTAGTGTGGAGGATG